GTGAAAGTGACCCTTCTGGCACGTGGGTTTGGGCACTTACTCCTCACCCTGAACTGAAGTGTCCCCATGAGCAGAGGGACAAATGTACCACTTCAAGCGCTTCTGGGAAGATCTGGATCTGAATTTCAGCTTCTCTGTTCACTTCAATTCACTTATTCAGCAGTAGTTTCCTACCTGTTGATCGCGATATGAAAATGATAAGCAGAAGAATACTTCTTTTTTTTACCTACCTTTTTGTTTACTCCTCCACCTCTTACTCATCTGAGCCCTAAAACAATATTTAGCAGAATTTTAAATTCCACCAGCATTCTGAAGCTTCCTTTCAATGACATGATAACCACTGACCACTTAATTACAGGTTGATGGCTACACTGTGGTGTGCCTGGGCATTTGTGGTTTATCATAATGGGTTATTCCTCTCCCCTGGATGGCAGTACAGGTTACCATTTGGATCTCCTGAAGTTAATTACACGCTAATCCACAGCAGGTTGCTAATACTCTATTGTTACATATCTGGACTCTTGAGGCCTACCGAATTATGTTTATCGATACAGTACTGGGCAAGCTAAATGGCTGTGCAGTTTATGGAAAGTTTGCAGACTTTCTGTACTTGGAGGCCCCACATATTGCCCATCCCTTAACACGAGCACAGTGTCCCCCATCCCCAGCATCACGGGACTGTCTTGTGTTGCTCCATGTACCCCGGGGGAAGCCTGGACCAGGGTGCTGCAAGTTTTACTCTTGTCAGTACAATTTATTATCAATAGTCTGTCTTGCTGGTTCCAGATGTTAATTCCTCATTTTGTCTCATGCCTTTCACGGCTCTGTGACCCAGACAGCCGTCTGTGGGACCCAGGCATCTTTGGGGGGAACGATGCATGTGGTAACAACATCTTAATGATGTTCTTGGGCAACCTGAAGTCCATGTGAGCACAGGCCCAGTTTTCACTGCTGTTTCCTGAGGCTTTTATCCTTCTTAATCACCCTGTAAATCTACAGTTCAGTGAGAGCCATCTTGTCTTGAGCTGTTATGCCTGTAAGGATATTTTAGATGATAGTTTTTGTCTGTTCATCTTTTAAAACAGGTAAAATACATTATAGAGAAAAAACATAGTCGTAAAGTCACTGTGGATCAAGTAAGTGTAGGAGTTTGTCTTCTGTCTGATGATAAGAAAAAAATCCACCACAAAATTTGTGAGAGTGGGCCCACAGGGTACCCACCCTACTGGTAGTACCTAAATCCAATGAAGTTCTTTCAGTCCACTTCAGCTGAATGCCAGCCTTTGGGGGACTTCAGTGTAAGGTCCATGCATCACTTGACGCTTCAGCAAGCCCTGCTTTGAACAGCTGAGTGGTACCAGTCTGGGTGATGGGATCCAACCGGAACGCACTGCAGCTGAGACAAAGAGTGTGAAAATGAAACATTTTTGTTGTGTGTTTCATATTTTTTCCCTTTTTACCTTCCTCACCTCTCCCATGATCACTGCCCTTCTCTGTTGGACAGTCTTCTGTCACACACACATTTGTAAATGTATTTAAACATTTCCAAACTACTGGTCCAGTCTCTTTTGGGATCAACATAGAAGAGCCCAGTTTAGCTTTTAGGCATAAGAAATAACATAAATACTGCAAAGTAATGTATTAAAGAGCCCAGTAGATACTGTTTCCTTAACATTGTTGGCTGCATTAGGAAGAATGGGTTCTATCTTTACATTTTCAGAAAGGTTCAGCAGGTACATTTGGTC